AGTCTCCAGACTGATCTGCGAGTGAAACCTTGAAAGCTCGCGAGATCAGGATGGTCTCACCAGGCTAGCCTCTGACTGCTTTGGTTTGTCTTCAACAGCAAGTGATTCGGGTTTACAGTCTGCCTGAGGGAACCTTCAGCTCTGACGAGGAGGAGGAGGAAGAGGAGGATGAAGAGGATGAGGAGGAGGAGGGTAAGCGAACCAAAGGATTTCATCTACACTGCAAAAAATCTAAATCTTGATAAGTAATTTTTTCTTAAAATAAGTGCATTTGTTCTTGAATTGAGGAGATAAAAGAGACATTTTGCCAATGGAACAAGACAATTTAGATTTAAAATAAGAAAACTCAATTGCATCTCTTATTTCAAGTGAATATTATGTAATTATCTGATTTTTGGAGTAAAAATACTGATTCCATTGGCAAACTATCTCATTTACCTACTCAAATCAAGGGTAAATACACTTAATTTAAGAAATTTTTACTTATTTCTAGATCGTTTTTCGAGTGTATAATCACTGAAGTCCATTTCCTGAATGCAGAAATTTTAAGACAAACTCATAGAGATGATTTTTGTTCAGTTTTTTTTCTATGTGTTTAAATCTTTTATTTCCTTTCAGATGAAGAGAATTAAAGTGGAGTTTCCTTCTTCGACCAAATCAACCTTCATCTTTCTCACAAAAACCACCATTTAATTCCCTTTGAAACTCAATAAAGACAAGTTGGACAAATGATTTGAATGTGTCACATTTCTTTTCCTGTTTCCTACAGAAATGTATAAATTCATACTGTATAAATATACTGCACCTCCAGGCCCATCTGAGGTTTTTAAACAACCATCCGGATGTTTCAGAGGAACGGGAGAAGGTCATGTGGTAATGCTTCAATATGATGATGCAATATCATATTGGAAATAAGTTCTATTAAAGAATAATGGAGGCTGCTGTGCTCAGTGAAAACTTCCTAGCAACAGAAATGTCTGTATCCTTCCCTGTAGAGTCCTGTCGGGTTTTCAGGAAATTCCTTTGACTTTTTTCAAACCGCCATAATATGGTGCTGCGTGCAGAATTTTGAGGAAAGATAAATGTTATATATTTCATTAAGTTTAATTTGTGAAAGTGGAAAAATTGCTCGCGAGATCAGGATGGTCTCACGGGGCTAGTCTTCTCCAGCAATGCTGAGCGCCATTTATTTTAGAGACCCTTATCTATGGTCGTGACATCTTCCCTGGAGTTCATGAACTGCATTGTGCCCCCTCCATGCCACTCCATTTCTTTCACTTATGCAGATGCTCCGTTCCTCTGGTCCGGTGCAGAGGATGGAAGGTGTCCATGATGGATGTAAGCTTGGACAGAACCCTCCCCTCAGCCAGGGGCGGATATAGGAAATGTGGGGCCCTAGGCAAAGACAGGCAGCGGGCTCCCTGAATTGAGCAGACAACACATAAAACGGACCCATTCTACAGATAGAGAAATGTTAATAGAATAGACATCCATTGTTCGTTCTAGGTTGTGTCCCTCTCTTCTTGTTGTTTCTCTTGTTGTTTTCCTCTCTATGTTTTGTATTCAGCTGACTTTTCATGCTGTCTCAAAAGGAATTAAAGATTTTTTCCAAGCACACTTAATATTATCAGCGTTCTGATGGCATTTTAGCCAAAGGATTTTTATCAAAAACATAATTAATCCGCACAAATAAGGAATAGTTGTATCAACCATACATAGAAACAGAGTTTTATGGGGACCCCAGGAACTTGGGGCCCTAAGCAACTGCCTAGTATTGCCTGATGGCAACCCCCCCCTCCCCTCAGCCACTTCCTCCACTGAGTCCAGGGCTCCGCCTAGGACAGAATAATGGAAATCAACAAATGTCCTAATGGAAGTCAATACAAGAGTCCAATCTGGGACTACAGCCTTCCAAAGAAGAAAAACCCAAACAAAAGAAATGTTTAAAAAACCCAAAACTTTTGAAGGTGTGTACATTTAAAGAAACAATGTTTAGAGGTCCCTATGCTAAATGAACTAAGATAGGAAGCATCCTTCTTCCTTTTCCCGACTCCTTCTTACTACCAGCACTATTCGGACAGCACTTATTATTCTGCTTTGGCTTAAGATTCCTTAACAAATTGATGAATTTGGATGGTCCTATGTCTCTTAATATATTCCATGTTTTCCTCCATATTATACGCTTTGATGACGGAGAAAAAAGGCAGAGCAGGAATGCACAATATATGGGACAGGTGGGCTCAGCCATTAACCCTCCTTTACAATCAGATCACATATTATCGTGTTTTTTATAGAGAGTAAATGGCAGGTTGTGTAGTTTAAAGGCATATTTAACCCTGTAATGCCAAATGTATCATATTTGATACATACGGTTTCTGAAATGTTTTGCGTCTGACACCTTTTGCAAAATTTTATGGTAAAAACTTTGCTCAAAATCCTATTGTACACAATCAGATATACCTGATAAAAGCCAGTAGAAGACTACACAAAAAATAATCTTGACTTATCGCATAGTAATAAATTATTAATATAAAAAATGTATTTCTGTTTTTTCTTTTTACATATTTTGTTAAAAGGCCAAAGAAGGAATTCAAACCAAAAAAAAAAACAAATTTTCTGTTTTGTTTTATTCTTGAATCGGGCTTTAAAGGGTTAAGAATTAAACAAACAAACATAAGGTCTCAGATCCTGAGATAAAAATGCAGAAAACAATTTTTTGTAATTTTTTTGGGGTTAAAAGTATTAATTATCAAGCTAACATCAAAGATTAAAGGTTTTTTAAGTGAGAGCTGAGGGTGCACCACCTACTGACAGCCAGAAGATGGTGCTGTTGATCTTCTCAGGCTGTAATGCTGCTCCATGTGTGGAATCTTCTGAAGAACAGGATGTCAAGTCAAGGAGGAGTAAGAGGAGGAGGACATGCTGGGACTGGCAGGTCGGCCAGAGGTGGAGCCACAGAGACAGGAACCTGTTTGAAGGATTCAGAACCTGAGAAAAACTGGATCAGGATGTTTGGCTCCAACTTCTGCTGCAGGTAAAACCATCTCTCCCTCTTTGGATTCACTAGGAAAGTACTGTAGGAAGATTCTGTGGGAATGGACTGGCATCTAAATACTAATAGGAAGTTCTTTCTTTTTTTATTTTTATTTTTTATTATTATTATTTGACTCCAGACAGCTGAGTGTGAAATTAGGGTTCTGCTGAGGAAAATCTGTGAAGATCTGCTCTCTGGTTTGGTTTACAGAGACTGAGCTGCTGCTGAGCTGCAGGTCGGTTTCTGGGTCTGGGTGTGTTTAGGTCAAAGAAAAAAGAAAAACACCCTGTTCTGATTTCAGACCCACCCTGAGGCTGAACATGTTTCACTTTCCTAGAGAAACCCTCTGTTTCTCCAGAAACATGCTGGACCTGAAGATCAGGAAGGTTTCATGCGCTTTATGTGGTCAGGTGTTGTTTGCCTCTGAGTTTATCTGGGACATGGCAACCGTGTGAAAGATCAGGAGAGTAACCAGACAGAAATCGTTTCTCTGTTTCTATCCAACACTTTGAAATCCTGAAGGCAGCAGAAGAAGAAACCATGAAGTTCTGCTGCAGTGGGTTCAGCCTTGTAAGACATGAGAAACTCAGACAACAATGACGGGTATTACTGGTTGAGTCCCAGAAGGATCTTTGAAGAACTTCAGACTTTAAGATCCTCCTGAATGGGTCAATCTTCTTTGCTCTGGCAGAAGAAACCCAAACATTTCAAACCAGACCCAAATCTGTGGTATCATAGAATATATGAATGGCCTTCAATGATCCATCTGAACCTCCACCAAAGCTGCTCCTTCTTGGTTCTAATTTCATTGATTGTCTCTAGTTCCTCCTTCAGGACCCTCTGATTCAAGGTCCAGCCAGGTTCTACTGGTGAATCCAGTTCTGAACCAGTTCACCATCAGACCTTTAAAGAATCGGTGTGATTATCTTCCACAGCAAAGCAAGTCAAGTTATTTATAAATCACCTTTAGTCACGAGAAACTTCAAATTACCGTACGTGAAAGAACATAATAGAAAAGCACACAGAGAAACGTACATTGTATTGACGTAGGGGTAATTAAATGATTTATTCCAGACAGTAAAATAAATACGGAAAATGATAAAATGATGTTAAAATATGAATAAAAATAAATGTTTTAAATCTGGATTCAAAGCGACTGGGGTTTCATGGGTGACAATGGCATCGGATGTAGATGTTCGCCCTGCAATCGGAGGGTTGCTGGGTTGAGCCCCGCCTCCAGCTTTCAGTGGTGTTGTGTCCTTGGGCAAGACACTTCAAGTGCATTGTCTACTGATGCTGGTCAGAAGGCCTGATGGCGCCAGTATACGGCAGCCTGGCTTCTTAGGGCAGCTGTGGCTACAATGTAACTTACCATCATCAGTGTGTGAGTGTGGGCGTGAATGACTGAATGTAGTGTAAAGTGCTTTGGTCAAGTCTCCTGAATTGAAAAAGCACCATATAAGTACAGGACATTTACCATTTTAACAGGTTTCTGAGAGTTTGTTCAAGATTAGTGGGGCATGTTTGGTTCTGGATCTGGTAATACAGAGCAACTGAAGGAGACCTGAGAGCTCTGGGTGGTTGATACACTGATAGCAAGTCATTGGTGTTAAGACATTCATTGATTTCTAGACTAATAGAAGGATTTTAAAGTCTATTCTCTGAGATACGATAAGCCATTGGAAGGACTTTAGAATTGGGCTGATGTGCTCGAATTTCTTAGCTGTAGTGAGGACGCAGGCAGCAGCATTCTGGATCCACTGTTTAGGCAGTGAAGACACCACTGCAGGGAGATGTTCTTGAAGTGATAGAAGGCCGACTTTGTTCCTGTCTTTATTAGCCTCTGGAGATTCAGGTCTGAGTCCATCAATAAACCCAGATTTAAAGCCTGATTGCTGGTTTCTGGCTGGATTAACTGAAGCTCACTGCTTACTGTTAAACACTCTTCCTTTGTTTCTAAAGTTATCATTTCAGTTTTGTTTTGATTCGGCTGAAGATAACGTTGACCATAAATGCGTTGATTTCTCTGATGCATTTACCCAGTGCTGGAATGGGTTTATAGTCACTGGTGTCATTGTAATGTACAATGTCTATCGTCTGCATAGTTATGGTAACTTAGGCAGAGCATGTTGAATGAGAGGGTCCCTAAGATGAACTCCTGAGGAACACCGATCCTCCCCAAGTTGCATTCAGATAAGGAAGCAGTGGGAAGACATGGTCTCATTAACGTCCTGCAAGCTGGTGACCCTGGTGCTTCAACCTTAAGTCCAAATGTTTTTACAAAATGTAAGATATTAGATAGAGTTGGACAAAATTAGATTATCTAATAAAATAATATTTAGCAAGTTACAACACAAAAGAACAGCGGTCAGGACCAGTTCTTAAAAAAATAGTCAATGTTCAGATGACTGACTCAGAGACGAGGCTGTAACGCTTCCTGGGAAACAGTTTGAAGAGTCCTGAAGACCGAAGAAGTCCCTGAAGGATTCGAGGACCTGAGAAGAGATTTTACATCTTAACAAGAACCATTCATTAATCATGATATATAGAAATCAGTTTTCTACATCTCAGGGTCTTGGGTTTTACATGTTTTTTTGTTTTTGTGCTAAATGTCGTCCATATTTAACTCACAATTATCAGCATAGAAATGCATTCTTTAGAATGACCTGAGTCATTCTGATCTACCCAAGCAATTTTTCAACCACATTACAACATTAGTAGACGTCCTGATGTGAAATTGATCCATGTTTGCATACAGGGTAGAAAGCATTGCTGTTTTCTTTCTGCATCTACTCCACAAAACGTCCAAAATAGATCACCAGTCTATTGCAGGGCAACACAGAGACGTGCAACTATGCACACTCACACCTAAGGAAAATTTAGAGAAGTTAAATAACCTAACAGCCATGTTTTGGGCTGTGGGAGGAAGCCAGAGTACCTGGAGAGAACCCATTCATTAATCGGGAGAACATGCAAACTCCATGCAGAATGGGGAGGCTCCTTCATACTGGAAGGTTTTTATCATAATTTTTGTTAAACATTAAAATTACTGGATGGCTCGTATTTTAAAGAGGATCTAACAACGCAGGAGTGAATGCATTCAGGAACAGTTTATATAAATAAACTGTCATAAATCTGTTTTTATCTCTTTGTGTCTGAAGCTCTTGACTTTTAAAATAAATCTGCTCCAGATGAGTTATTTTTTTACAGTTTTTACTCAGTTATATTTTATTGTTTTAACCTGTTAGATCCCAAAATCGTCGCTTCTTTCTTTCATGAGGAGCTTGAAGTCCTCACAAAGGTCAAAGCTTCTCAGACCTGTTTGTGATCCTTGCTGGTTCAAGCAGTCCAGTTAAAGTAAACCTCAGTTTGAATGAGAACAAATTAACCAATGGTTAGTTAGCTACAGTTGTCATGGGAACTGTCTGGTTCAACAGCCTTGAACTTTGACCGACAGGCAGCTGGAAAACAATCAGTGCTTTTCTGACTGAGGTGTGTAACGATGAGATTCTTCGTCAAGTTCTCTGGAGTTTTTCTTTGTTTTCCTCTGACCTGTTTTGTAAATAAAGGCCTGAGAATAGATGTCCCCGACTTTTACAGGTAAATCATTATGGTTGTTACTCTTAGGTTCAGCTTGGTAATTATGTATAAAGCTTAAATTGAAATGTTTTAAAGAAGAAAAACGTATACAATGGAAACGCAGAAGGAAGGGACGGTGAGAGGGGGGTAAGAATTACGAGGAATAAAAGAGGCTAAGAGAGAAAATGGGAGGAAGAGCGGGAAAAGAAAACACAAGAAAAATGCAAAATAGAAAAATAAAAAAGTATCTCCTAGAAGTGACTGGAAGTGAAGTTTTCTAGATGTTTCACCTCTGATGGCAGTGAGAGGTGAACCTTCTGGGTATTGTTCCTCATCTGACTCACACTTCAATGAGGCATGTGACCGAAACCACTCTGACGAGGGAGATAACGACCCATCAGGACCCCCTAACCACCAGGTGACCTCCATGGCCAGTCCAGTAGGAATGATCAGAGCCACCTTTTGTCACCCCTAACTCTTTGTTAGACCTACAGTAGATTAATCTCAGTGCTCTCCACCATCAGTTAAAACTGAAGATGGATAAGAGTCAAACTGTCTTCTAGGAAACTTCACATCCAGTTGCCTAAACTGGACCTTTCAAGCTTTACTAGAGCTGCACGGTTTTGGCAAAAATCTAAATTGTGATTATTTTTACCCAAAGTGATAGCGATTTTATTTGGATTTGGTTTTGCACCAACCCCAAGCTTGTAGATGGTTCAGTTTTTGAAAGCTTTCTTGCCCAGAGTCCATCGTTACATGACTTTACTCTAATCACTGAGTGAAAAAGTGTTTACTTCTACTTGCATGCATGAATCTGGGTACTAACTGCAACTCTCTCTACCTTTGCTGACAAACTCACATCACCACCTAAATGGCTGGAGGGAGAAATCTAGAGTCTAACTATTGTTAAATATGTGCCATTAATAATCAGTGCCTTTGCAATTTGTAAAATGTTTTTTTTTTTTTTTATTGCAATTATATTGTAAATGCAATAAACTGCCCAGCCCTAAGCTTGACCATGACCTGGATGACAGAGAATCTTGAATCAATTGCTTTGCTTGTTTGGAAAACTCCTGCAGCCTCTGCTGCTTATGAAAGTTCTGGGTTTTGATGTAAAAGATTTAAGAGGCTAAACCGCCCCTCTGCTGTAGACACTCTCCTGTTTATTCTAGGAAACAGCAAACCATTGGTACAATGCAGTTACCCAGTCTAATGTATTGTGCATTGGGGGAGTGGCGGCCTAGTGGTTAGGATATGGAGGTTGGAATTCTGAGGTTCTGAGTTTGAGCCCTGCTTCCACTGACTGCCACCCTGAGTCTCTGAGCAAGATGCTTAACCCCACACTGCTCCCCGGGCGTCCCACAGTGGCAGCCCTCGCTTCCCAAAGAGGATGGGTTAAATGCAGAGGTAAATTTCTCCAA